TTCATTTGCTTTAATCTTTTTTCTTTTGAATAGATAATTTCTATTCTGTTTCTATTTTTTCATTACTTCTACTTCTCTATGGAAAATCCCTCTTTGTTGAAAGATTTTCTTCCTCTTTGCCTTTTTTAGCCTTTGATCATATATTGAAGATTAACAAACTTTCTTTAACATCTATAATTAATTTGAATTTTGTTTCCCATTTAATATTTAACTACTGATATCACTTTTACCGGTATCACTTCTGTTGTATTATCCTTATTTTTAGCTTATGGTTTGACTTTAAGGGACCTGTCCCTTTATCTGTATTGTTTAATGGTAATCAATGATTTGGGAGGCTTTACTGAAGCATCAGACACTTGGGATGCTTCTACCAATTCTCCTGCATGTGATTTGGGAAGTTCATGAAAACTGCAGCAGTTCCTACTTCCTTCTGTATTTACCACGCATCCTTCTTGACCTCTGTGTTAATTCTAATACGTATGCAGAGGTTGTCTCATCAACTCTGAGATTCTACCATTTCCAGGAATCTACATTAGCTTTCAGCTCATCTACCACCTGTCTCACCCTGGGCCATCACCTTGGACTAGCAGAGCTGTGGGCTTTTTCTGTTCCTTTCCTATAGACCTCACCACAGTTAGCTGGGAACACTGACAGATCTTGCTGCTCCCTACCGGAACTCAGGTAGACCCCTCGGCAACAAGCTGCTTGTGTCTATTGTCATCTCGTGTTGGTCCTACTACAGTTTTCAGTTCTTATTGTCTTTTGATAGAAGGGAGCAACCCCAGGCAAAAGGCCACATTTTTTCCCCATTTATTACCCAAATCTCTAGTACTTCTTTAAGAATTAAAATTTCTCAGTTCATTCTATGTTTCAGGTTATTTTCAGAACCCTGAAATACTTGTTTTATATATGTGTTTTTCATTATATACTTAAATTGGTTTTCTTTCTGCAGAGAGAGTTCAACAAACCTTTTATGACATTGTAATGAGAAGTGTTTTCTAAAGTGAATTGACTGCACATAAGGGCCCCATTGAAAGGGAATGGGGCTGTGGATTAGCATAAATAAATTTTGAGTAGAAAATCCAGTGTCCACACCCTTAAGTTAAGGAGAAACAGAGCTCAAAAGAAGAACTGAACTCTAATGTCTACATTTCTTATTCTCAGAAGTATCCCCTAGCAATTTCAAGACATCTATGTCCTGCCTAAGATTAAGCAAATAAGTGAATATACTATAGAATATTGTAGGAAATATAGGATTATATCTGAAGAATTGGTCATTAAGAACTCAGGGTCTATATGCAGGACATTGTGGCATTCACCCACAGTCCTAACTACACAGAAGGATTACCTGAGCCCAATAGTCAGATGGCAGCTTAAGATTCCTAACAAGACTTCATTTGTATAAAATAACTACAAATAAGAACTCATATCTTTTCTCATATTTATTCTTATTTTTATATTTCATGTAATTTAGAAATAATTTTAGTCTTAAAAAATGTTTCAGCAATAATAAAGTTTGATCAATATAATTCCACCTTTCCTTAATGATAAACCTCTTAGATATTACATAACCACGGTATAATGATCAAAACCATAAAACTAACATTGACGTAGTGGTATTAAGTACAGATATAGATTTCCCTGATTTTGTTTCCACTGATGTCTTTTTTACAGAATGAAATTATAGTATGAATTTCTGGATACAGAATAAAATTACAGTATCCAATATTGCATTCAAATATCATGTCTTCTTAATCTCCTCTGATCTGTGACAGTTATTTATTCTTTCTTAGTCTTTCCGGACCTTCAGACTTTTCACGTGTACTGATAAAGAAGTTTCACGACTTTTTCTGATCTTCTCTATTGCTTATATTGAGACTACATATTTTTGACAAGAATATCACAGAAGAGATAGTTCTTCATAGTGTCCCATATCAGGAATTACACTCTGTCAGTATGACTTATTACTAGTGATGGGGAGGAAATTTGGCCAATGAAAGTCTTTCCATAAGGAAGTCTTGGGCAAAAGGAACCCAGAGAGCGTCTTGTGCCCTCCTCCTATCCGGTTGTATGCCCACTTTATTGGGAATCATCTATACCTATCTAAGCCTATAATTTCATTTCTTCCTCCCCAGAATTTTGTTCTTTAAACATTGGATGCTTGATCAAAAAGTTGATCATAGTTTGATAGATACTTGATAGATCGAGTTGATTGATACTTGATCATAGTTTATTGAAGAAATAAACTATGTTTCTTCTTAAGTGAAAAATTATTCTGTGATGGCCATTTACATATACATACTGACAGCCTAGAGAAAGAAGAAGAGAAATTGGATTATAAAAATATTGGGTGGCACCTGTGCCTCTAAAGTGTAGGGCACCAGCCTCATATACCAGATCCGGCCCTAGCCAAAAAACTGTCAAAAAAAAAAAAAAGGAAGTTCACTCAACACAGCTTTTCACATTGTCTAGGCTGAGGAACAGAAGCTCAGACTGAAGACAACAGAGAACAATTATAGCTTCGATTGATTCATAGTCACAAGTGAAGGAATTGTTTCAGAGGAAATGCTGTAATCTACCAAGAAACTATTAGATATAATTAGAAAAATTCAAAATCCTTACAAACCATCTCTCCCTAATCCTCTGCCTTTAAAAATGCGTCATCTAATGGAGAGACTCAAAGACAAGGCAAACATTTATTTTGTTGCAGGTCTGATCTACAAATAGCAGTTTTAGATTAATTCAAAGTTTGGGGGATTCGGGTTGTCAAGGAAACAAAGTTTTCAGAGGACTAGAGTCCCATGCAGGACTTGTAAATGCTGTAAAATATTTCCAGAGATAGACCCTTCATCACTAAATGAATCACAGGGAGTGCAGCTGTCTGGGACCTCATAACCTCACTGCACAAGCAGCCTGGGAGGCAGGTTTAGGCTCAGTGGTGTAACATTGGGGGAGGAACTGGAGAGTCCTGCTGGTCCACTGTCCTCACTTGACACCAGTTGTTAGTCTGATCCCCAATGTTAGGGTTTGAGGAGGGGTCAAAGCTCTTGGCACATTGGATGCTCAGAGGTGCCAGTAGCCAAGTGAGTTTCCATTAGTTGAAATCCACATTGTTAAGGCCACGCATGGGCCTCCATGGTATTGTTTGAGAAGTCTGGCTAAGAGAGCTGGGAGAGGTGATAGCCTTAAGTCTATGTGAGATTTTATGTTAATTATTAAGAAACTCCTGTTCAACAATAGCCTTTAGATGACTATTTACTTGGGAAGTATTTATTTTTTACCCTGGCTCATTTTGAGAATTGCAGTCATAGTTTTCCAAACCATTTTGTCTCCCATCTTTCAGCTGTGTTTCTTCTAAGGCCTGATAATCTGCCAGAACCAATAGTCTATGAGACTGTGCCACCGAATTGCTTATCACGCTTTGCAGAGTGGCCATGAGATGTAAACCTTGTAGACCTCCCACTGTTGTGATTTCTATTTTTCCAGGGAATCCTTCATGATAGTAGGTTGTCACTTCAAATAAATATCAAGGCAATACTGTATCTCCAAATTCACAAATAATTCAGAAACAGAAAGAGACATCTAGATTAATCTGGAAAATAAGCCTTATTTTGATCTAAATGTATGTATACATAAACATGTAGAGTTAACAAGTATGAAATGAATATAATGTAATGGACCTATATATGTATTATAAACATATATGAACATTTTTATAAATAAAGTAAATATTGCTCTTTATAGTCAAATATTATTCAGTTGTAATGGATAATATCTTTGTAAACGGATTCTTAAACATTACAATAAGGCCATATTTTTCTATTTTTTAATTTTTATTTTAATTTGTTTTTATTGTTTCAGGTAAAGTGAGAGTGTCAAGAATTAGGTTTCAATGTTTTTATTTCTTAAAGTCCCTTGTATGGCTATATTTTAATAACATCCATTTATGTGTATGGCCAGCTATTTTATTGGTTAACATTTGCCTATTAGTGATTTTAGACAACTCAAAACTTAGTAGCTTAAAACACTAAGCATGCATTCTCATTTTCATGTATTTTCACGTGAATGATTTGTCAGATGGAGGCAGGGCTCAGCTGGGGGGCTCTATTAGAGGCCACTGAGTTTGTCTCCATTCTATGGATTGTGTCTGATCTGGTGTCAAAGCTGAATGGCAATGAGTACTCAGGACACACCCTCCTCACACTGAGTACAGGAGGGAGCAAAATCCCCACACAAAGTTTCACAGCCAAATATTTGAGCCTGATATTGACAAATAATATTGTTTTTCGTCTTTTAGCATCTTAAATAATTTTAACTTTTAATTAGAAGGCAAAGATGGGGGTAATTTGTAACATGTCACTTTACATAAAAATTTTTTGTTTGTTTGTTTTTATTATTGGGAACTCATTGTGGGTACAATGAAGGAGGTTACACTGCTTGTGTTGTCTGGGTGATGTCCTTCTATTAATAGTGTCCTGCCCCTATGTGGAAAGTTTCTTAAAAGGCCAAACAGGAGGGAAAAAATATATTTGCCTCATGTAAAGGTCCCCTAAAATGTAGTTCCTTCCAAATGGGGACAGAGAAGGTAAAACTTTCACTCTTTGTTGATGACACGATGTCATACTTCGAGAAGTCCAAAAACTCTACCAAGACTCTGGAAATTGATAAAGAAATACAGCAACATCAATGATACCTTTTCCTTTGCTGTTTGAAGAACAATTGGTGCTGTAATCTGGACTCTTCAGGTATAATCATAGCTCTCCTTTCTTAGAACAGGACATTCATTACCATGTCAGTGCTGCTGGGGCTTAAGAAGGGAAGTGAGACTCAGGGAGCAGAGGAGCCTCTTGGCCCCTTTTACCAAAACCACCCAGTGACCTTCAGAGTATGGTTGTCTCTGAGAAATGCTCTCAGCAGATGGAGTCACCAGGAGGAACGGCTCTACTGCTCCACCTGGCGCAGCCCAGCCTCACATAATTTCTTCCCAAGGGGGTTTATGTTCAGGCTTGTAGCACTGTGGGAGGCCAACTTTTAACTTGTAGACAGTAATAAGAGGCAAAATCTTCAGCCTGCAGGCCGCTGATGGTGAGAGTGAAATCTGTCCCAGACCCACTGCCTCTGAACCTGGAGGGGACCCCAGATTGCAAAGTAGATGCAGCATAGATCAGCCGCTTGGGAGATGACCCTGGTTTCTGCTGAAACCAGATTAACGCTTTGTTAATGCCCTGACTGGCCTGGCACCTGATGGTGACTGTGTCTCCCAGAGATGCTGACAGGGAGGATGGAGACTGGGTCATCTGGATGTCACATCTGGCACCTGAGATAGAAACATGCAAAGAAACATCCATCTTATTAATAAAGTTCTAAGAGGACACCTCTGAGGAGCCAGGCAGGACTGACCGCATGGGCTTAGTAAATCCCTGATATTCTCCCTCCTTACCTGGGAGCCAGAGCAGCAGGAGCCCCAGGAGCTGAGCTGGTGTCCTGGCATCCATGCTGTGTCCTGACAGGGACTGACTCCTGTACAGTGTGTGACCAGCTTTTTAATAAGTCTCCAGGGCAGGGGCCTGTGCCTTGGAACATGCAAATTGGCAGAGGGTGGGTAGGCTGGGCACAGCTGCAGGGCTGGCTCTTTTCAGTGACTCTGAACAGGTCCATTGTCCCCAGATCACTTCAGGGCAATGGAAATTTGTTTGTACAGAATGTGTTTCTTCCTAGGGACTACAGACACAACTAGGCTGCTGTCTTGTGAGTAGAATTTTCTATTGATCCTTTGAGGTTGATGTCTTGCTTCTCTTGCTCTCTCTCCTTCTGAGACAGGTTCTATAGACCTAACACAACTGTCAAATCTCACAGAGATCTTTCAGGCTCCCTGATTTTGTTACCTGGGCTTATTCTTGAGTCCACAAATCCTTTCTCATTGCTCTCCTTGCCTGAAAATCTAGGTGGTACATTCTCAGTACTACCATCCAGAGATGGGGTAGAGTTGAAGAGGAACAGAAAACATGCACCTGCCATAATTTGTAAGGAAATCCTCATACACTGCCATTCACCTCTGTTATCTTGTCATCTCCAGCTAAGCCCTGTGTCCTCCTTCCTCTCTGAATGCTCAGTCCTACCTGGATTGAAGTGGACTGATGGAAGCAACCAAGTCAGTGTTGGTGAGGAATTTCCTCCCTCCACATCAGAGGAAATCTTGGCTACGTTTCTAGCTATGCGTATTATGAGATATTTTCATGCTAGATGTTCCCTGAGCTCCTGAATTATTATGTTTTAAACCTCTCAACCATACTCATTCTTTTTAGAGGCAGAGCTCCTTTTAAACACTGCTCATGTATATGTACCTGTGAATCTACTGTGTGGCCTAAACTTACATATTCATTCTTCACCAAATTCTTTCAGTTCCTAAGAGAACACAGTTCTCAATGGCTGGGTTAAAGTCATGAGGTCCTGTTTCAAGCAAGGAGACACCCAAGTAGGGAGGTAAAGGTGGAATCCCTACATATGGAAAGGGCACCTAAGTGGGGTGGACAGGGAGGCCTGTATGAGGGAAGTTTTGAGAGGTATGAGATGTTCCAGTACAGCTTGAACACGTGGTCACTGGAAAAACAATGAGTTCTCCCTGCCTGGGAAGCAATGTTTATGGTAACCTAGTCAAGGTTATCAGAGCCTGAGCAGAGTGTATGAGTATGGGGGCAGGCAGTGTCTGCGATAAGAGTGCAGGTGGCAGTGACAACAGGAGATTGGGTTCATCTAGGAGGGTTGTTGATCACACAAATGAATTTATTAAGGATAACTGGAGCCAAGTTGCTCATCACTGAAGAAAGCAGCTACAGTATAAAAAAATGAACATTTTGTCTATCCATTTATTTCAGAATAAAGTGTGGTTTTGGATTGGAAGTAGCCCATCTGTGTAAATTCACCAATGTATATAAATACAGATATGAATGGATTGATGAATAGATAAATAGGTAGATGACAAAGAATTTTTCCTAAATTCAAAGCAATGATATCCCAGTTCTTTTTTGTTTGTTTGTTTGTTTTAATTTATTTTTTATTAGATCATAATTTTGTACATTAATTCTATCATAGGATACAGTGTGTTGCTTCCATATGCAGTTTGGAAAACTCTCATCCAACTGGCTAACATAGCCATCATGTGTATCTCATAATTGTTGCATTAAGACATTTATATTCAACCTTTAGACAAATTCACATGTACCCTAATAGGATAAATTATAGGCTTGATCTCCACAATATCATTCTCTTCACCCATCCTCCCCCCTCCACTCCCCCCTCCTTTCCCCATAGTCTAGGGCTCCTTTTGGATTGTAGCTTTCCTAAGATTGCTAACAATTAGTTTAGCTGGAAATTGATACTTTTTCTTCCATTCTTGACATACTTTGCTAAGGAGGACATCTTCCAGCTCCATCCATGTAAACATGAAGGACGCAAGGTCTCAATCTTTCTTTGTGGCTGTATAGTACTCCATGGTGTACATATACCACAATTTATTGATCCATTCATGGGTTCATGGGCACTCACTTGGGCTTCTTCCATGACCTAGCGATTGTGAATTGGGCTGCAATGAACATTCTGGTACAGATATCTGTATTATAGCATGATTTATGGTCTTCTCGGTATATACCTAAGAGAGGAATTACAGGATCAAATGGTAGATCTATATTTAGATCTCTGAGTGTTCTCCATATGGTTTTCCAAAAGGGACGTATTAGTTTGCATTCCCACCAGCAGTGTAGTAGTGTTCCCTTTTCTTCACAACCCCGCCAGCATCTGTGATTTTGGGATTTTGTGATATGGGCTAATCTAACTGGCGTTAGATGATATCTCAGAGTGGTTTTGATTTGCATTTCTCTGATGATTAAGGATGGTGAGCATTTTTTCATATGTCTGTAGGCCATGCGTCTGTCTTCTTCAGAGACGTTTCTCTTTAAGTCTCTTGCCCACCCTGCAATGGGATCACTTGTTCTCTTCTTGCTATGATGCTTGAGTTCTCTGTGGATTCTGGTTATAAGACCTTTGTCAGAAGCATAACCAGCAAATATCTTTTCCCATTCTGAGGGTTGTCTGCTTACTTTTCTTACTGTGTTCTTGGCTGTGCAGAAGATTTTTAATTTGAGGAGGTCCCAGTAGTATATTTTTGATGTTGCTTCAATTGCCTGGGGGGTCCTCCTCATAAAATTTTTGCCCAGGCCTATTTCTTCAAGAATTTTTCCCTACACTTTCTTCTAATGTTTTTATGGTTTCATGTCTTAAATTCAAGTCTTTAATCCAGTGAGAATCTATCTTAATTAGTGGTGACAGGTGTGGGTCCAGTTTCAGTTTTCTGCATGTCGCTAGCCAGTTCGTCCAGCACCATTTGTTGAATAGGAAATCTTTTCCCCATTCAATATTTTTAATTGGCTTGTCAAAGATCATATAACAGTAAGTAGCTGGGTTCAGTCTTGGTTCTCTATTCTGTTCCATATATCTACCTCTCCGTTTTTGTGCAAGTACCATGCTGTTTTGATCACTATTGATTTATAATATAGTCTGATGTCTGGTAGCATGATCCCCCTGCTTTGTTTTTGTTTCTGAGTATTGTCTTTGTGTCTGAGTATTGTATTTGTGTCTGAGTATTGTCAAACTATATTTGAGGTTTTTTTCTGATTCCATATGAAATGCAGTATTATTTTTTTATAATATATTTGAGGTTTTAAGATAGATATTTAAGATAGATATATTTGAGGTTTTTTTCTGATTCCATATGAAATGCAGTATTATTTTTTTGAGATCTTTAAAGTATGACAATGGAACTTTAATAGGGATTGCATTGAAATTATATATTGCTTTAGGTAGTA